GGGAAGATAATGGATACAATTGCTAATACACCAACTGCTCCACCTTTGCATATTGAGGCTAACCATAGAATACATGCTGTTAGTGAGGCTTGAGGATATTGGGGAAAACTGTTTAGGTTACTTTTCACTTTCACTATTGTACCTTTTACACTACTTTGTGTCTAGACTTCTGGTGACTTCATGGCAACCACTTTTTTGATATCCATATTGATTTCACATTTGAGTCCTTATTTAATAGAAATATGCCCCTGCTGCACCAAGTTCATCCTAAAATACAAAACCTCTTTGCAGTCATTTTAAGCCTTTCTAAAATAGAAGCACATTACTGCTGAATCTTCAAAAATGTACCTTTTAGTATTTATTCAGTACAAGCTCTTTTTGCAGAACCTTCATCCTGTAGAATTATACCAATTGTGAACCAGACCTTCCATAATACAGAAATAGAGGATAACTGAAACTCATACACACACAACTACTGAGCCTCTATTCAAAATAAATTCACCCAGTGCCGGGCCACTTTACATTAGAATTATACTACCAAGGAGGCTGCAACCAGTAGAAATACACAACTCAAGATATACAATACAAGCTTTATACAGTTGAAATACACATCTGTTAAGCAACTCTACATTTAAAATACACCTCTGTTAATCCACTATCCATTAAAAATATATATCTACTGAACTTCAGTCCAATAAAAATACACAAAGGCTAACCCCTTTTTCGAACAGAAACATGCCCTCTGCTTTGCTTCCTTCCATGAGAAACCTAATGTCACTGGTCTGCCATATAGCAGAAATTCATAGTACCTTATCCTCTGGCCAGTAGCAATACTCTCCAAAGTAAGCCTCCAGCTGTTATGAATATGCTTGGCTTACCCACCACCTATCAAGAGCACAGTATTACTGAAACTCCACTTGAGTGTTCAGTATTTCATGTTTCATTAAGCTATTGTTTACTCATTAAAATTATTACTTACTTTAAATAAGACAAATGATTTAGCTTTGTCTGGAGTATTTATTTGAATAGAGGACACTCAAAAATATTTGTGTATTTCTGGGCTTATACTGGTCCCTTCATTAAGCATTGTTTTTAAGATTTACCAGTTGGATATACACTGATCAGCTATAACATTGTGACCTCCCGCCTACTATTGGCTAGGTCCCCCTTTTGCCACCAAAACAGCCCTGACCCATTGAAGCATGAACGCCGCCTGACCTCTGAAGGTATGCTGCGGTATCTGGCACCAAGCCGTCATATCCTTTCAGTCCTGTAAGTTGCAAGGTTGGGCCTCCATGGATCAGATTTGTTTTTCCAGCACATCCCACATATGCATGATTGGATTGAGATCTGGAGAATTTGGAGACCAAGTCAACACCTTCAACTTGTTGTGTTCCTCGAACCATTCTTGAATCCTTTTTGCAGTGTAGCAGGGCACATTATACTGCCATCAGGGAATACTGTTTCCATGAGGGAGTTTACTTGGTCAGCTGCAACTTTTAGGTAGGTGGTATGTGTCAAAATACCATCCACATGAATGGCAGGACCCAATGTTTCCCAGCAGAATATTGCCCAAATAATTACTCTTCCTCTACCGTCATGCATTCCCATAGTGCATCCTGGTGCCATCTCTTCACCAGGTAAGCAACACACACGTACCCGGCTATCCACATGATGTAAAAGAAAACATGATTCATCAAACCAGGTTGCCTTCTTCCATTGCTCCATGGTCCAGTTCTGATGCTCACATGGCCATTGTAGTTAATTTTGGCGGTGGACATGGGTCAGCATGGGCACCCTGACCAGTCTGCGCCTATGCAGCCCTATACACGGGCCAGCCTTCGCTCCCCACATTCACCAATGAGCCTTGATCGCCCATGACCCTGTAGCCGGATCATTGTTTTTCCTTCCTTAAACCACTTTCGGTAGGTCCTGGCTACTGCAGAACCGGAACATCCCACAAGAGCTGAAGTTTTGGAGTTGCTCTGACCCAGTTGTCTAGCCATCACAATTTGGCCCTTGTCACAGTCGCTCAAATTCTTACACTTGACAATTTTTTGTGCTTCCAACACATTAATTTCAAAGACAAAATATTCACTTGCTGCCCAATATATCCCACCCACTTCCCGGTGCCACAGTAATGTGATCATCCGTGTTTTTCCATTTCACCTCTCAGTGGTCATAATTTTTTGGCTGATCAGTGTATATAACCGCTTATAGGTTTGTATCTGGTAGTTTTCTTCATGTCTCACATGAAAGGTGTCTTTTAAACTACAAGACCCACAAACTGCGGTATTTATTATAGACACAACCCTGTGAGAGATTTTGTGTTTTTTTTTTTTTACAGTATTTCGAATATTTGCACCAGCAAGGGTCTCTTTGTGCAATTTTTATATAGACCTGTCAAGAGTTTTGTTAAAAGTGCTCAGAATTCTGTGTGTGAAAAGCCCTAACCAAGAAACCCATCTCACAATGGTAAAACTTCACTAGACAGAAAATGCCCCAGCCATCGGCCTACGTGTCCTAGCAGTCATCTGTGTTTCTTTAATGACACACTTGCCTGGGATCTGCTTCATTTGCATATTTGATAAGTTAGCAATACATTCCAATGAATAATGAGTCCCCTGCAGGATTTTATATGCTTGTGTTTTTTTCTGTTTCCCTTTGCTCTGAACATTTGTCAAGCAAACAGAAACTTATGTTATTTATTATTTGTAAATGTCTCCCTTGGGAAAGAAATGGGACATTCGGTGCATTTGTTTTAGATTTGTAGCACACTTCATTTTTACCCCACACTGTGAGCATTTAAAAAAAATGATTGCTAGAATAGAGTCTCAACAAATGACATAATGTAAAAAACATGGAACCTATATACTATTCAAATAAAGAACTTTCTCAACATATTCACATGCACAGTTTGTCACAGCCCCATAATACACCAGTGACATCAATTAAATTCCATCCATACCGGCAGCCTGTTTTACTTTCCTTGTTTTCCCAAAGTGAGCTCAAATCATTCTCTCTTTTTGTCCTGTGGCCATTGTCAGTGGGACAGAAAGTAAAGTGAAAGTCAAAATGTCATGATTGTGACTTGAACAGGAAATTAAGGGAAATCTGCAAGGGGAAGTAGATCTCACTGCCTGTGACTCATGTATCCACTAACCACTGGCATCATTGTGAGAAACACAATGATACCTAAAAAATAATTTTTCAATGCTAAATTTTAATTAAAAATACCAATATGCTCTTGGTAGCCAACGTTACATTTATCCGAATCCAACCATTAAACCTTTACCGAAGTCAACCTCTACACCTGTTTACCAAACCTAACCTCTGTACCTAATCCTTAGTAGAAACCTACTTCTAAACGCTCAAGCTGAACTTACCTGCAATTCTGACCCTTAAACATACCCTAACCTCATAACCATAAGCATTGTTGCAAAACGGTTATGACAGCAAAAATCACTGTCACGCCAATAAAAATGCCAGAACTTGCCACCCAAATGATCTTGCTGCAAACGCCTGATCTACTTGCTACCTATCATGCCAACAATCCCATGAACATTACCTTCTTCCCTATACCTTGCTTGTTTACTGGATGACATGATACATGAACTCTTACACAGAAGGCAGCTTCTGCATAGAATTAAAGGAAACAATTCACAAAAGAATACCATGATGCCACATTTCGAGGTGGTGCTCTTTTCCAGGTCTTTCAAATTGTGCAGACAGTCAGTGGCAGGTATAATATGAACAAAAAAAAGGTTTTCTGTTTTTGTTTTTATTTTAAAGAAACGCAATTTACAATGTCTTTAGTTTATCACGTATATGATCTGCTTATGGTAAGCTGCTTATTTCAACAATCCGAGTCTAAATAAAAAAATTTTTAATTCTCCAAGCTAATAATCATATTAACAAAAAAAAAATGGGTGGGCCATTTTATCTGCAAATAAAACATATGTAGTGAACATTATTTCTGCTTTGTTCGTAACCATCTTTGTCAGAATATTGACAAAGCTTAATGAACAGGAAGAAAAATAGACTTCAGAGAATAAGAGTCCTAAAGCACAAAGTCTTACTAATTCACTGCCATTGTATTACTCCAAGTACTGGAATAAGAAGCCCTTTTGCTCACAAGTATTGTATTCAATAGAATAAGGTCTAATTACTTATAATTAACTGCTGTGCTAAAAAAAAAAGCAGTTCAAGTCTCTGAATTTTCATTACTAATCTCTAATGGCTGTAAAACAAATACTGCACAAGTTCATGGCTGTTTGATGAAGCAATCTGCAAGTAAGACCCCCTACACGTTAAAGAATGTCCAATAAAACCAAACACGGGATTCTGTGATCTTGATTTCTACTGTTTTAGTGACAATTGTAAAATTTTGGATTTCCCATTACTTTCTGTCCTGGTGACAATGATCACTAGAAGAGAAAGGGTACATTTCCATAGAGGAGACAGAGACAGCAATTAACACTTGGCAGGTATTCTTATCCTTACGCTATTCAAAATTAAAAACATGAAGCTGTGGCTAGAGTTAGACTTTCAGTGAGAAAAGGGAGCTAGCGGGAATGGGTAAGATACATTACTTAAATATCTTGGCTGTAACTAAAAATTATGGAGGAGGATCACTGATTTGTACAAAACTGTAGTGTAGTTTGTTGAGGGAAGCCTGTGGGCTTCGTGGATGGGATGAAGGGAGACTTTCTAGTACAAAGAATACTTTTCATATTTAGACATCTACTTTCACAGGCAGTGGTTAGATGGTACGTGGAGCAGGATCTGAGCCAGTAGCCCTGGGTATTGTTTAAAAACGATAACTGTCAACTTTTCATGCATACATTTCCCTAGGATGTTTTTTTACTAAAAATTAGAGAATATTAGGAGGTGCTAAAAGATGCTTGTGTGTAGATAAACTTGTAGACATTTCTTTAACTATTGTAACCATAAAATATGTTAAATCTGTCATAATATTTATTCCTTTTGTTCTTTTGCAGGCCAGGCTATGGGTGGTACAATTAGTGCACTGGCAGCCATTTTGGACCTTACAATTGCTTCCAATGTAACAGATAGTGCCCTTGCATATTTCCTCACTGCAGACATCTTTCTCCTTATCTGCATTGCTGTCTACTTGCTCCTACCAAAAATTGCGTATTCCAGGTAAGATTGTAGGTTATATTTAAGCAGTGATTTATATAGGATCTTCATGCATCTACACTTTCTGCAATGCATAACCTCATTACACCTGAGAGCAATAACTCTTTCTGTAGAAGACAAGAACACTTGCTGTTTTATTCTTATAACATTGGAAAGAAGTTATAAGAATTAGTGTGGGACCATCCTTCCTGCTTCTCTGCATATCACAACATAGCTCTTTCTTTATGATGTACAGTTCTTTTGCACGATATTCTAATTATTCAAGTTTCACCTGTAAATGTTCAGGGAAACGTAACAGGTTTGGTAGAGAGCAGAGTGCTTGTAGGTACCTTCCACACGTTCCCATCACCATTTTTGCGATGGAGCTCCCCATCAAATGTTGTAATGTAAGCTTCAGGTTGGCTATTGATTGGAGCTTATGTATTGCTAAAGACATTACCCACATTACATCATTATTGGTAGTTCAAGCACCAGCATTGCATTGTGAGAGGAACGTAAGCAAGTCACATGCTATGGGGTTGATTTACTAACCTTATAAACACACCACGAACATGTATACACCTCTGTAGTGTGTTCCCTCCCAGCTTGATCTATGGGTGGAATCTAAACACCTTTGTAGTGTGTACACACCCAGCAGGTGTGTTGTGCAAAGCCTTTCATGAATTGCAAGGTTGATGTTGTGTAAATTAGCTCTATGTTGTGTTGCTTGCGTTGATGAATGCAGGAATGTAAATGCATGAGCTAACCATTTTTGTCTAAACTGTGAAGCAGCATTATATATGCATCATGTGCATGATTTTTCCATATATGGCATTAGTGGAAATATGCTTTTAGAGACTTTTTGGTTGATAAATACGTTTTGCTGTGTAAAAATCACACGCACCTAGTGCGTGCGTGTGTTTAGGTTAGTAAATCACCCCCTATGTGTGCTCTGGTGTAGAAACATGGAAACAAGTGCAAGGTAAGTACAAGAACTAGAGGATGCCTGCTGTCCTTCAAACAGAGTACTTTGCCCTAAAAAGGGGAAAACAGGCTCATTTTAACATTTAGGGTATTTAATCAATACTGTAAATTATACCTACTTCATATATTTTAAAGTAACTGTTATCAAGTAATAATTCAGTGGTCTCTATAGTGTCGTAATCTGACGATAACTTGATATTTATGCTTGATACAAATATTTACTATTTTAATTTCCCTTGCAAATTATTGGGTATTTAACTTGAAGACCAGGGTGTTAAACCCCCTTCCTGTCCAGGTAATTTTTCAGTATTCAGCGCTGCGGTACTTTGACTGACATGTATTCCGTCATGCAACGTTGTACTGAATGAATTTTATACCATTTTTTGGGGACACCTATAGCTTTCTTTTGATTGTATTTAACCGCTTGTAGGCACACCTGACGCATGTTTGTGTGTGTGGGGGAGGTTAAATTTTTTTGTGGGTTTTGTTTTTATGTGTAACTTTTTTTATTTTTTGTGACTTTAATTTGTTTTAATTTTTTTGACACTTAACTTTTATTGTTATCACATAGGGGGCTAAGAAGCCCCTACAGTATATGATATCAAATTAGAGTGACAGGTCCTTTTTATGGAGACATCAGTGGTCTTTAAGACCCCTAATGTCACCTAGGGACCCCCAAAGAAGCTAATAAAGCAGAGATCAGCTTTGCCAGCTTCTCTCTGGCTTCTGTAGCCTGAGAATGACAGCTGAATGCAGAAGTGATGTAATGAACATCACTCCTGCAATCAGAGAACGGGGAGGAGATCAGACGGAGATTGTGTACTGATCTCCCGCCGATCTTCCTGCACAGAGCTGCCATGCCGGTCTTGGGCCCGCACCGGGTGTGGGGGTGCACGGAGCGGCACCACATACAAGCGATCAGGCAGCTCTACAACCACCAGAACGCTTGTATGTAAACAGCTATTGCACCAGGTGCGGGGGTGCATGGAGCGGCACCACATACAAGCGATCAGGCAGCTCTACAGCCACCAGAACGCTTGTATGTAAACGGCTATTGCCGGCTGTTTTAAGTTTTGACAGTTTCCCTGCTTGTGCGCGCATGGACAGAAGGACGTTTTAAAAAGCTCATCCGCGTCTGCAAGGCTCCTGTCCGGCTGTTTATATACGGTCGCTGGGCGGGCAGAAGTTATGTGATGGCAGCTTCAGCTTCAACTCAGTAAACACACTTTCCAAAGTGAATATTTACTTTGCTAAGTAAATCAACCCCAATGAATTTTAGTGTATGTGGTCAGCAACTACTCACTCATTTAGTATCCTAGTTAATTTGAGATAGGTCAAATTCTCCTTGTTTAATATTTCACAGGCTTTAAATTATAAGACAGTTTGACAATATTCTAATAGTTGAATTAAGAATTGATGCGGCTCAGGAGGATATCAAGCATAAACCAAAAATAGTGTCTAATTCGTCTGCTCAAATTCAGATATAATACCAAAAGTCTTGTCAGTGCAGAAAAGAACATCACAAGGGTAGCTGTTTTAGTCTTGTTCCTATTATTTTGTATGCATTGACACTTACAGAAGTTCTATGGAGGCAAAAAATAGACAAAAAAACCACAGACAGAAACTTGTTAGTTTCGGCCTCGGGTTACCTATACCACGTGTCTGCTCCATCCCACAACAATAGAGAACTGCTACTCTAAAGCAATGAGAAGTTGCATCTGACTAGCTGCACAGATTTTTATGCAAGTGCTGTTGCACAATATTTTATTTTTGTTTCCCACACAAACTCAGACCTCCTATGTATAATGAAAACCATTTAAGTTCTTCTTGTGGCTTATAAATGTTCTATAAAACATCCTTACTGATAAGTCAATTGGGTAACTGGGTCAGCAGTAAATATCAGCAAAGATAAAGTATTTCCTACAAAAAATCCCTTCTGTCTGTACAGAATTGTTTCATAACTCTATAGGTCTATGGATCTATCATAAATGCTGACCTATTTCTTGTTTCAATATTTTATATCCATGTCCCTTTATGCATCTATTTTTTGTAGTCCCACAAATAATTTTCTACATTTGCTAGATTTCTTTTTAAAATCAGAGTGAAGTTGCTTTCTTTACTTCTTTATATGAAGGAAAATAGAGCTTCACAGAACCCTTACAGTGGCAATCTTATCGGGCTTCGGATGTCTGTAAACTTTCAATCAATACGGTTTGCTGTTATTACCTACTGTTAACTATTCCCTGAAACCATTTTGCTGGAATCGTTAAAGTCAACGAATAGCGTTAAATATATTTTCCTCACGTATTATGTTCAAGACTAAAAAAAGAAGAAAAAAAAATAGATAAAAGACTTAACATTTACTGCTGGCATTTATAGCTCCAGGTTGTTTTGTGTTTACTTTTCTATTCTTGGCTGCTGTGTTAAAAACAAAAAAAAGCCTGTTCACAAAGCTCAGTAGCTGAAGGCCACATTTACAAACTCAACTGATGGAGGCAGCAAAAAGATGCAGTGGCCCAATCTACAACACTGGCCTTCTTCCTGATTCAGCTCATTCCTCCAGGAGGAGCAAGGTATGACTGACTCTTGCTTGATCACACAACAGCGCAGCATAAAATCCTCTAGCCGTGTTCTGGAAAGGCATTACCGTGCATCGCAGTCTTTACTCTTACTTTTATTGTGACATCCTGGAGTAGTGGGGATAGATGCTTGGGGGGGAATATGGCTGTGGCATACTGCCATTAATGGCATATTAATTATTTATTATTTATATGAAAACAGTGTTGAAGTTTTTTGACTGATTAAGAACATAGATGCACCTTAAATCACACTTAAATATGAGACACCCGAAAACTACCAATAGAACACTTCCCGTTGATCCTTTCCTTTTCTCTGTTCTCTAATCATCCCATTGTCATTTTAGTGGACCGGATTTCTACTAATGGCTTTGTCTGCACCAATGACTTGTTTGACTGACTGACTCTCACCCACCCTATGGTTTTTACTATTGAGAGAGTTACTGACTCAGTGTGCAGCTAGTGAGATCAGAGATCCCACCCTTAATGCCTGCTCTGGGCTAATGACTCAATAGGCAGCAAAGCTGTAGGATGAACATGACATCCAAGGATGTAGCGACTTCCTAAAACAGTCAGCCAAGCAAGGGTACCTTTTTATTCATATGGGTAAAGTGTACATAGCTTTTCTTTATTTCTAAATAAAAGAGAGAACAGTTAAAAGACCTGTCAGTTTATATTTTTTTTTTGGTCGTCTGTGGAGAGATCTCCCTTAATTTTCTGTCCTAAAGATGTAACATTAAGTGAAAGGAAATCTATACAAAGTGAAGGGAATTCCACCTTAGACAGTTGTCACCTGAACAGGTGTCGCTATTTGAAGATTTACCTTCACCTATTGTTACTTTTGAAATTGTGGATTTCCTATCACATCCTCTCTCCTTGACCATGGTCACCAGGATTAGCTGGAGACAAAGACAGAATTAAAAATCTGATGGGTTCTTTTTCTTACCTACTCCATCCAAGACAAAAAAAAGTTAGTTTGGGTTTCCATCCATTTTTAAATATTTAACAATGAAAAATAGTTGCTGTAGCTGCTCAAGCAGCCTTGACAGTGCATTAGTTCGTTCCAGCCCTTCTCACTGTCACTTTTGGACAACTTGGTCTGCATGTAAATATGGAAAAGGATACTGTCATGTATTCATCAAATATAGTTATCAGAATACAATTTGTATTTTTATGTAGAACCTGTGGTAGGAGGTTTATTCTTTTTCTCTTCCCACTCCACTGCATGGTTCTTGTTTCTTTTAGTAGCAACTAAAAAGCAATTTTTAGAAAATCTTAATGTATGTTTTTTTGTAAATATTAAAAGTTGCCTAGAATTGATTATTTAGTAGATCAGCTGCAAAATCATTTGTTGACAGCAGGTGGCACTGCACAGCTGAGTTAGAACAATTTAGTTGCACGGTTTAGCATTCTTTTCTTGCTTTTTGCATGAGATAGACTTCATTTTTGCAAACCTAGTGCTGC